AAAATCTGTATTCAAGTTTGGGGGGAAGCTTGCTTCCTTGCTTTCCTTTCTTTTCTTCTTTTCTTCCAATCTTCTCCCTCAATTTACAGTCATTCTGGTAGCCTCATACTCTGTCCTCTGATACCATTGGCCAAAATGTTTATGGTTTTCTGCTAGAATTCTAGCCACTTTGTGTAACCTGGAAAGTGTCTTTAGGAGAAAAGCTGTATGAACATATGTTACATCAGTGTGGTTTATTCTTTCAACAGTTGAATCTTCTCTAGTCCTGTTTTCTATTGCCCTCCTATGCATTCAGATAGTTGTTTTATGTATCTTGTCTTGACCTTACAGTTGGAATCTGCAGGAGGATTAGTTGCATACACGCTACTCTGCTACTGCCCGAACCAGAATTCCCAAGAGTTCCTTTTTGATCATACTCAATTTGAGATGACTATTTAACATCCAAGTGGAGGTATGAAAAGGGTTCAGGGGAGATATCATAGTCAAAAATGTACATTTCAGAGTCATCAAATTCTAGTTTATATGGAATTTAAAGCTTATGGAATTGGTGAAGTCACCTGGGCAATCAGTGTAGACAGAAATGGCTCAGGACTGAGTCTTGGGGTACTTCAGAGTTTAGTATATAAAGAAGATAAACTAGCAATAGGAACTGAGAAAGAATGACCAATGAGGTAGAACAGTAGTTGGGAAAAAGCCCGTGTAAAGGAGGTCCAAGAGAGAATGGGAGAAGAGGAAGTCTTCTAGTTAACACAGACAACTTTCTAGAAGTTTTACTCTAAAAGAGAATAGTATAACGGAGCAGAGAGATGTGAAGAGAGATGTGGGCTCAAGGAAGGTTGTTTTAATATTGGCAAAATTACAGTGTATTTACTTGGTGATGGCAATTATTTTAGAGAGAAGTTAAAATTAAAATAATGCAGGGAAGATAGTTCACCAATGATGTACTGGTGAGAAATCATGGTGTATTTGGTTATTAAGGCAGAGTATTTTGGAACACATTTAGGTGAGGTAGTGAATTTGGTTATGAGAGCTTGTGAAAGTTGAAAGCAGGATAACCAGCTGAGAGTGAAGAGGGAGAAGTTACGAAATAATCATCTATGAAAAATGGGAATGTGAATTGACTAAGGCAATTATTGGACAAATCAATGTAAGAAGTCTTGAATTTAAATTGAGATTTGTCAGCATGATTGCTTTCTCTTAATCACATTTACCTGCTAAGGGCAGGGGCAGAGTAGGTAGAGAGTTTATATTTAAGAATTTCCAGGTAAGATCATAAAACTGGAGGAGAAAGAGTTGGTGGCATCATTTATGTATCAAGGAGGTGATTATAAGACACTGGTATTTAGGCTGGCTAGGGATGGGCAGTGAGGCCACGTGGGGATGAGAGAGTGAAAATGTAGTGGGATCACTTATTAGCAGTTCCAGTGGATCTAATACTTATTAAAATTGTAAGAGCTTAGAGAGAATGAGCTAAAAAGATAGGAAGTATTGGTTAGAGAGTATAAC